CGTCTTCTTTTGAGACTAAGAAAAAATAACGAGGAAAAAGAAAGATCAAGAGATTAATTAACCTATGATTGATTATATACGTAAATATAATTGGATGGTTTTTTTAAAAGTATTATTTTTTAATGATGTCTTCAATTTTTTGTTTTCTAATTTGATACCCTTATTTTCCTCTAATATGTTAAATGATACTCATCATCATTTTCTCCTTCTTGTTAGTATTATCAACCAGCTATCTCATTTTTGTCCCATCATTGTGGTCACTTTTATCTCTTCATTTTTGTCTCGTCATGATTGTCTTCATCTCGTCACTTCAATCGGATAATTTCTATCTTATCGTGGCCACTTTCATCCCATCGTAAGATTTTACCATTTTCACCTCATTGTGATTAACTTTTTCTCTCAGTGAGACCCTGTGGCTTCTGCTTCTCACGTAAATAATATTTAAGATATTAGAAAAAAATAATAGTATCAAATGGGACAATCGAAGGAAAACAAAAAAACTTTTTTCAAAAATATATCTCAAAAAAAATTTATTGGTGACAATGGAATTTTTTTTGGATTAAACAGTGATTAAGGCAGAAGAATGAATATTCTTGACACTGCAGTCTGTATTCTTTTTCCAAATCGACTTTTAATTTATTTTTTTATTGCAGTCTGTGTTCTTTTTCCAAATCGACTTTTAATTTATCTTTTTATACTAAAACTACAAGCGTGCGTAGATCACAGTATGCTCCAACGAATCCTATTCGTAATTAATGCTATGCTCAGCGACTCCTCCTTTCTTTGCCATCACAAAGGTGAGAAGAACACTTTTGATTTCTCAGATACAATCAAAGACGACTACATTTTCCCAAGACGAGGACTTTTGTAAGCACATAAGCTACTGCATGTCTTATCTTTTTAATTACCTAAATATCTACAAAGGCGAAGACAAATAAGCAAAAGTCCCCATTAATTGACATAGCACCTTGAATTATGTACACAATTATTGACCTTAATGCTTAAAGGCTTAGGCTTATGCAGGTCTTTCACTCTTCTGAAACAATAAATTCGAGAAGATGATTTTTTGTTTGTGATTGGCTTTGTTTCTCGAGAGGTATGAGAATTCATACAGGAGAATTCATACAAGGATGATTGACGGAGGATTAATCTAATGATTTGTATCTAATGATTTGTGGTCTTGAAGCTTATATTGCAGGCTTTACCAACACACCATGGCAGAGGAATGAGAGCTAATTGACAGCCTGATAGGTTGAAATGTTTGAACATTTGACTTGGTCGAGGCACGTCAGACCTGTGCTGATAAGAACAGATACTACACTTGATCTTAGCCAAAAGATCGAGAAAGGTATGAGTTTGTCATTTATAGCGATCCTTCTTTTATTTTTGTCCTTTCCTCTTTGGTTTATCCTTTTTATGAATTTTTCTTTTTCTATTTCTCCTATTACAAAATAGAAGATATAATGTTTCTTTTCTTGTGTTACAGAGAAGTTTGTACTTCCATCTTTTTACTATGAAAACCTTCTAGTTTTTTTCGTGAATGTTTCCTACAACCAATCGAGGATTTTATCATGTTGATTGGTGTTATTATTTTATTTGATTTTGATATTCGATTTTATTATTTTAGATTGATACTATTTACCCATATTCATTTTTAGTTTTAGTTTTAGTTTTTCTTTTTTCAATGATGGTATCATAGACAAAGGTTTAGAAAAATTAAAGATTGCAAAGTTATTATTTATGATAAATTGGGGGAGTGAGTTCAAGGAGGAATGCAAATCAAGTAAAATAATAGTAATAAAGTTTAAGATCAAAATGTTCAACAAAAATAATTTCTCCCTACAAAAGATGAAGATAAGGGTAATTCTAAGGAAGGATAATCGCTTGACAATAATTAAAAGACAGATTCAAAAATTTCACAAATGACAAAAAGTGCATGGAGATGGATGACAATGTAATTGCCATGTTGTACCTTATATCTATAGATGGAGTTTTATCTGATATCACAATAAAGATAAAAACAAAAGAGATCTGGAATACTCTGATAATGTTATATGAAGCCAAGTGACTTATAATATGATCTTAAAGAAAATATTTTTCACTTGTCGTATATAGAATCCACATCGTAATGGATCATGTCAATACTCTTAATAGTTTATTCTCCCAACTTTCTACCATGGAGCATGATATTGAAAAGACGAAACATGCCGAGCTTTATCTTTAAAGTCTACTTGATTCATATGATCAACTCATTATCAACCTAACCAACAACAAAACCAGTTTAGTCTTTAATATTATTGTAATCATAAATCCAAAAGAGGACAATAGACATAAAAATAAGGAAGATAGATTAGTAACGTTATAGTAAAAATAAGGAAGATAGATTAGTAACATTATAGTAAGTTGAGACATTATCTACAATAAGAGAAAGATCAAAAGAGCATGGTTTGACTAGGAGCATTAGATAGAGTAGATCAAAGTCTAGAAGAAACAAAATATATCCAAGTGCTAAAATTATGACAAGATGAGGCACATCGAGGAATGAATGTTGGAAGAATAAGAAGAATATAGATAAAAAGAAAGAAAATAAGTACAGTTTCACCTTCAATGCCTCAAGCGAAGGTAAATTATTCCAAAGTAAGACAATAATAATTTCCAAAGGAAAAAAAAAGAATCTTGTGGATATTTGGTTAGTAGATTCAACGTCTTAGCATATGACTAGAATAATTCTATCAGTACCAACCTATCTCAGGCGGATCTATTTCTCTAGATAATGATCGTACCTTAGAGATTGTCAACTTTGGTACTATGGAGATAAAGATTTATTTTGATATTATTCGCACCATTCAGGGGGTATGATATGTCAAAGGCTTAAAAAAATCTACTATCATTTGGATAGTTGGATAAACTTAGTTGCATAATCGATATTAAAAATAAAACTTGAAATATTATAAAAAGAGCATTCATCGTTATAAAGGTAGAGAAGATTCCAACAAATTTATACATGCTTTTGGGAGAAACATATATGAGGTAGATGCATCCGTTGTATCATCCGACTCTAGAAAAGAATCTACTATATTATGACATCGAGGATTGGGACACATATTAGAATGAGATATGAAGATTCTCCCCAATGAAATCTTTATTACTGGACTCAAATTAATAATTATACCTTTTTTGTGAGCATTATGTTACAAGTAAGCAACATAGACTAAAATTTGTCAGATCTACTATAAGAAGTAAATGCATACTTACCTTGATTCATTTTGAAATTTGAGAGTCATTAGCGGAGGAGCAAATCATTTTGTTTCATTTATTACTGATTATTATTGGAGATATTGAGTGTATTCAATCAAGAAGAAGGCTGATGTATTTTCAGTTTTTTAGTTGTTTAAAGCAAGAATATAACTTAAATCAGGGAAAGAGATCAAGTGTTTGTGGATAGATAATGGAGCATAATATATGAGCAAGGGGTTTGATGCTTTCTCAGGAAAATTGTGAGGCAGCATATAGTGCAATACGGTCCTCAATTGAATGTATTGGTAAAGTGGATGAATACACCTCTTTCGAAGAAA